CTATCCTCAACCAAACATCTGAATCTGCAAAGTATTATTCCGTAGTATTAAGTTTGTAGTTATGGCTTTAATTTATCGTTTGAAAGGCCTAAAGCTTGAAACATTAAAGAATATTTCGCAGGTAACCAGGACCTTTCTGGAAAACACAGTTACTCTTGGGCTATAATCCACTAGATAACAGCTTTCACTGAGTTCAGTTGACATAGCGAAAGATATTGTCCGTTCTCAAAGTGCATACAGTCTTGATCTAAAGTGCTTTCCAAAGAGCGTGCCATGCATTTGGAAAGCTTCTTATAATATAATTTGTGTAAGAATTCAAAAACATGTGACATGATACGTAATTCAAATAAATAATAATAATTACCAATGTTTGAGAATGAATCCATACCAACAGGAATAGCTAATGGCTTTCCTGTTTTCATTTGTTCATTGAATGTTATTTTACCACCAAAAGCAATGTGATTTAGAAGAATTCTCGTCTTTTTGAGCAATTCATCTTCTCTAATAGATGAAAACTGCGGCAATTAAAGAAAATATTATGCACCTACATATAAAGATGCCCCATAGTAATGACTCAGAAAACGCATTGTCTTGCTAATTAGATTTTGTTGTTCATTACTGAATTCCTGTAGAAATGCATATCGTTTATGATTTCACTTACCCTAAAAATATCATATTTTGTCCCTAAGAATGTAAGAGGTAATGGAAAAGGATTTAAGAGCTCTACATCTGGATGTGTTGATGAAATCTTTTTTCTCAAATTTTCATTCAGAGTATTCTGAATATGTGTTATGTTCTTTTGTCGAAGTCGACTAAATATTTGCTCGACACGAGAAGAAGCTGATTTCAGTAGATTGTCCACTGTATCCCAAAGTTCTGTAGGCTTTGATAAATCAACAACTAAAATAAGGTGAAGATTCCTATAAGTAAGGGAAAGTAAGTTTAACAGTGAGGTGATAACAACTAACAGTATATTGTTGGGTGTGATCAATACATCAATTAGATCTGAAAGTTTTGATCCGCCACCAAGCTCCCATATGTGCGAAACAGCTCTAGTCTACACTAGAAATAAGAAATGAAGTAATAACTAGTAACCATATAGTTTCCAGCACCTTTACGTCCAAAAGTATAATCAAGTGCTAGAGTCGGTTTTGGTGTTTCATCCTTTTCAAGGAATCGGTTAATGATTGTACTTTTCCCCTAAACATTGTTTGGAAAGTGAAAGTCGGATGACCATTCGCAACATACAGACTGCCTGTTTCCCGCGAAAATGATCGTAGTCTCTACATTCCCTTGTACTATTTTGTTGTAATAAATAAAATCCTCTGATACATACCTGGCTTGTTTTTATTCTGCTGAACAGCGATATCCCAAACTGACTGCGTCATTTCAAATATTCGGGGTTAGATGTAACCAATCAACGAGACGTTTTATAAGTACATATCTGATCTTCGATGTTTCAATATTCAATTCTCACAAAGATTCTCACAGTCTCAGTGAAAGACTGGAATTCCTCCTGCTTAATTACTGAGGATTTTGTTATTTTCACTTCTTTAATGCAGTGTTATTTTGTGCTTTACAAGCTCAAATGACGAGGATTTCCCTTGCAGTTTTTAGAACCCACACGAAAAATATCCACGTCTTAATAAGTGGAAGAACGGTCGAGTTTATAAACGTTTGTTGAGTTTGATCAAGGCACGTCAAACTTTTTAGCTGCCACTTGAACTTCCCTGTTGTCTGAATACTCACTCATGAGTCTTATAATTTATACGCTGCTTGCGATTCATTTCACTTTTGCAATATCTAACGCATGCCATATGAAAATTGGTCATGAAAATTCAGGATAACAAGTTCTGTTAACTAGCTGTTTTCATCAGGATCATTCTACATAACTTTATCATTGATTGTTCCACCACTGGTTTCACTCTGCCAAATAAACTATGACCTAGTAGCCTTAAGAATAACTTCTAGGAATTATAATTCCTAGTCTTTTGTAATAAATACCTTCACACATGTATGCGTGTATAAATGTGATACTGCTAAGAATTTCCTGACGTGTCGATGTATCCAGTGACCCATTTAGAAGCATTTGTCGTGGATTCTATTGATGTGCAGCATACTGTATGATTGAGATGGGATCAAAGCAATGCAATGTTACAACTGCAGTTATTGCAAAACATCTCAGAGCTTAACATCAAAAAAAGAGGGAGGGTGGCGCATGCTGATCAGCAGATATAGCAGAGGTCACAAATGCGAATCGCTCTAATCTGTAGGACAGCAACATGCATTTTTGAAAGCTCGAGAATTTAACATGAGTTTAGATACCTAACAAAAAACAATCATATCTGCACAGATCTAAATTTTTTAAAATTCTTTTACCACTAACATCTGCAAGCCTGCTCAGCTTCTTGTCAATATGCTACCCCATGGGCCCCACAGAAGTTCGTGAAACATCATACAGGTTAGCTTGTCCTACGGGTTCTAATTCTCCAGGTCTTTGAATTCACTCCTCCTTGAAATATCACTTATAAACCTCACGATGATCTTTTTATCTAAGCACTATTATACTCTATTGGAACTTAGCTACCTAGGCCTTTAATAAAGCTAAACTTACTCTCTGTTGATATTTGTCACTTGCTTAAATTCTGGTTGCTTTGATGAAAAACACAACTCCAATGTCTGGACAAAGCTATGTTTTCATCGAAAACGCCATAGTTTCCATGCTTAGACCAACATGGTTAGCATTAAACATTGCAAATGTATACCATCATTCCAAGGAGTCTCCACGTCCTTCTCGTATACATCTTTTCAATGTGCTTTGAATCATATGTTATCCATAATTGTATTTTATACCATTTTGCAGTTTACCAGGTCGTTCTCCTCTTCTTGAGATAGCTTTCAATGCACTTACTCAAATATACGCCGTTCACTGGTTGACTATAACTATCAGCAGGAAACGGAACGCAGTTTGGGTTGTCGCTGAACTTTGATGGTGGACTTAGTGGAGCGTTTACAATTTAACATTTATGAGAATCTGTTCTGATTGCTTGTACAATAATCGAACAAATTAAACTTTTGAAAAAGTATTTAATTACGATACCTCACCATTGCAACTTATGAGGTATCTGATCGTGTCTGTAGAAACGGCGTACATTTCTTGTAAACTTGCGGTTTATACGAAATATAAATTATTATTAGATTATCATGGATAATTTTCTTGTCTTCGTTAGATATTTAATATTATTGTTTGGTCAATTGGGGTGTGATACTGCTATCTTGCGGGTGTAGTGTCTACATGAATATTTCTGAAAAATCCTCAGGGAAGATGAATATTTTTTGTTCCCTGTTGTTTTTAATTCTAAATGTATCTTTAAGACATCAAACCGAAACTAACTGAGAAAAATGAAACCTTAGTTGACCTAAAAGGCGATTCGTATGTCACGTATTTTGCCAAACTGTAAAGCATTTCTTGCTGGCTCAAGATGGTTCATGAACAGCCGGATGTAGTATATCAGGTGGTGAGGTTTTCTGACCAGATGCCTTCAGTTTGATATGTGTGCCAGTGTAACGACAGAAGACAAGGGCCAGGAAACAGATCGCTCATTGAGAAAATCAAGAGTCATTTATAGATTCTTATGCACATTATTATTAGCGTTATAGCCAGCAGAGAAGCAACGTCTTCTAGCTGGTTATTTTCTTGCTGAAGGGTATCCTGTAATGCTCGTGACCGTTTCTCAGAAAGTCAAGCCATATGTTTGCGAACCGTATTTGCACACGTTAAGTCTGATTTGATTGGTTTGTGGGTTCCTCACGGTTAAGCTTTGTTATTATTTTTTCTCATGGCCCTGATTCGGGACTTGAACACTGACATAAATTGTTGTCTATAATTTTGGCTTGCAGACAGCTCGTACCGCCATAGGATAGAGAAGGTTAATATTGGATATAGAACAGATTTTAACAGAACGCTTTTGAAGAAATTGGAGGAACAGTTGCCTGTGGTGAATGGTTTGCATTGGTAACCTGGTTTGCGATTCCATCGATGTAGTATTGCTGTGAAAATAGGTATTCGACATCAGCTAACACCGTTTATAATTGGAGTGGTGTGTGAATACATTATGTGCGTCTAGAAATGCGAGTTTGTTGTTCTTCCTTCAGCTTTACATTAAATAATATCTTCACAGATATCATTAACTCTGACAATTTCAAAAGAATAATCAAGTAGGTAATTCTACGTTCTGCATGCAAGTATTCAAATCGAGTTTCGCATTTGGATCAGGAATTCGGGAGGTCTTGGTTCGAATTCTACCCTTAGAAACCTCGCCTAGCTGGAGGTAAGCCAAGGAAACATGGAAATATAGGAGTGCAGTGTGCAGTCCCCTCTTGTATAAATAATACCACCGCTACTGGAGTTTCGATGTTTGTAGTCCCATGCTTCACTCGGAACTCAAGGAATGATGCAAACAGTCAATTTTGTCTAACTACGGGCTCTGAAGATGTTGGTGATACCAACATAAACGGGACGCATAAATAATGTCCCACCTAATTAAATCAATGCCCAAAATACATTAGGACGTTTAGGAGGTTTATTTCACTCAGTTTTATCTATTAAATTTAAGCCTGTGTGTACTTCACTCTAGAAGGTGAACTAAAGGGGGATGGGGGATACACATCACCTATGACCGTATGGGGTAACAGCGAGGTGGATACGAAACACCTTTCCGTGGCGCAAATGGTATGGTAGATGGTGTGGCTGCGAAGCCTGCCCTGCTATGGTATCTTTTGGTGAAATAAAACTATGCGTCTAAACGTAACCGTTTTTGCATCTACGAAGACTATCAGTCTCCGTCCGCTCCTCCCTATGGATTTCTATCCCACGAACAAAGTAGAAAATGGAATAGCTCATACTAGAGGAACAACACGGCGGTCCGAGTGGCACTGTTGGGGGACGATTTCATCCGTCTGTAGGCATTTTTCTGACATTATGCACTGTGAAAAAAGGCCTGCTATAACCAGAAAATCATCGTAGCCAAAACATACTAATGGAGAGACGGGTACATACACAATGCGCTTATTTCCTTCTATGTAGGTACATTCTAAGTGTACACGGACGCACAAGTTATTGTTTAAATTGCATGAGTTCGGCATATGGTGAAGTTATTCCGCAGTTATTCTTTTTGAAGGTGGAATTAATTGAAACAGTCTGCTAGCTAATTGGTGAGTGCAGTGCACTAAGAAATATAGAGGTATTGTTTTCGCATTAACAAATAACCCAGATTTGTGGGAAATAGATTATGAGCGCCAGGGAGAAAGTAAAGCAGTCGGTTCTCCTATGTAACTTTAATAATAATATATGCTTATTCCTCTCCACGTTCTGTGGGGCACTGCATCTTATTCTTGAGTTACAGTCTGATGGTACGTTAATTTAAACTCAGTCGTATGTTCGTCCCGCTTTCTCAGCAGTTCCATCCCAGATGTGCATCAGGAGTGAATTGTCTCCAGTGAAGACAAATGTCTTGCAAGGCAATATGAAATCTCTCCTCTGCACAAGATAGTTGACAGTATCTCCATTGCCGCTATTTGTGGCTGCAATGTAGTCTGTACCCATGCTTGCGGTTATAAGTTGATTTAAATGTAGAAAACCGTCTGACAGCCAGTTGTAAGATCTTTTTAAGCCATCAATACTGCTGATAGGGGATGTTAATCAGCCTTCCAAAGTGGTAGCTTAGGATCGTTGAGGGAAGTTGAGTGATTGCGAACCAACATTTAGGGGGATGTTGTGGTATGTGTACGTTAGTGAAATCAAATCCTGTTTAACGCCAATTTAACTGGGATTAAGTTAGGAGGCGAATGGGCCATTCCAGTAGTGGTTCGCAAATTCCCGAGGGATTTAGCAGAGTATTCTACATGACCAAATGACCTGGAGATGTCAAAGTAAATGATGGATACCATTTTTTATGAAGATCAAAGACTGTTAGATTATCTTATTGTCTCAATCCCGGGCATATGCTTGAACTCAGCACCAACGGTTCGTGTAAATGTAATACATTCGAAAACTCTTCACCCAACCATCCTAAAGCTGGTGATATTTCCAGCAGGCCAGAAGACGCAACCCATAATACTATGATCTGAAACCAACTCATTGGCAATTGAGAGACTGCTTACTGTTCCACTTAAAATGTATCATCACGACAGGACAGTTACGGCACAAGTGGTGCCAAAAGTTAAGACTTCAAAGTCTTCAGATAAACACCAGTATAACTCACAGTTTTACTTCTGATCGTGTTGCCCCAGTTTTATGCTGGACAGCAAGCAACTAGACTGCAGTTGGGACTATGACCTCCAACGGAAACGAAACCGCTTTCATATGCGAGGTCGTTGCACATACATTTAGTATAACAAC